CTACAACCTTCAGAGCCAGCCCTGGACCCACCAGGACTTCCTTTCTTGCTGCCTTGGTGTACCTGTCATCCTAGTGTCCTCTACTCATTTTGCACAGCAGTCTGGAGAATGTCTGCCTGACACAGTGATCCTGTTTCTCACGTCCTCCAAAGCTGAGGTGTCTGGGATGGGTAGGGGTAAGAAAGCTCATTCTCTAAACCCATAGGCAGGATTAGGTGCTTCTAGGCTATGTCCCCTCCTTGGGGGTTACCCCCACTTCTCAGCATGGCCACAGACCCCTGTGGCTTTGGGAGTTTGCTGAGTGGCGATGGAATAGGCTTACCCTGAAAAGTTTCCCGGCTGTGGAAGCAGCAAGGTCAAGCCACCAGTGGTTTGTCAAGCCAAGAGGCAGCTGTGGATATTTAGGAGTAGAGAACCACACCACTAAGGTGCCAGCTGGAAGGGAGACAGACTGGGCTTCAAGTGAGACAAGTGCAGGGGAGGCCACTCTACTTAGAACCTTCCTTTTAGACCTGCAAAAACATGTTTTACTTAAGCACATTGAGTTTGAATTGTGGCATGTGAGCCCAGCTGCTAAACCAGCCACACTGGGATTGTCCTCTGCCTGTCCTGGACTTGGGGGCAAGCCTTGGAGAACCTTCTCAGCTCATCTTCTGTCAGGAGTGCAGAGCCAGAGGTCTGGGAGGAGCAGGGACTGAAACTGCAGTAGAAGGTGACTGTGCTAGTGGGAGCTTCGCAGCCAGAGAGGAGGGGCAGGCCAGGTGGTACCTGAACATGGAGTCTTGTGGGTCTCCCATTGCTCCTGCCCTCATTTCCTCTCTTCGCTTCTCCCATCCCATGTCCGTTGTAGTGAGTCTTTCCCTGATGGTTCTCTAGTGGAAAAGAGTGGCTGGAGGTAGGCCATATTGAATCGAATTTGGGAAGACCAGGACTGACTTTCCTGGTAGGATGACCAATTCCTTGTGGCATCGGTGACTCAGTTATAATTCCTCCCCTCCTGTTTCATTTTGATTTGAACAACCTGTGCATGCAGCTGTTTCTTCCATCTTCCTGGATCTTGGAATCAGAGCTTCATTTTCAGTCTTGAGCTCCTAATGTTCCAAACCGTGGGTGAGGGGTGGGAGAGCCATAATCTGTGAAAGATGCAAACTCTGGGTTATGTAGACTTCAGATGGTCTCACGTGAAGGCTTGTCCCAGCACCTAATGAGCAGTGGGATTGGGGAACAAAGAGGTAGCTGATGAGTGATGGTTTTCCCCTGTATCCTAATTTTCAGAAAGGACTTTAGTCTCTGAGCTGCAGCTGTGTAGTTAGCTGGCTAACTAGAGGATAGAGATCTAACAGGGTGTCTGATCTTAGGGGGCTTCCTGGTGTGTGAGCTTGGACAGCGTGGCTCTCATGTTTGGCCTTTCCTTCCTCCTTTGTGTGTGTGTGGCACACACACATGCACACACACACAAGTCTGTATCCCCAGGAGTGTGTCCTGCGTCACTGGGGGCTCTTCTGTGGTGCACTGTCTTAAGAGCAGATCAAAGGGCCGTGGTCCAGACTTCCTCCCGAGCTGCCCTCCTTCCCTGGGATGAGTTTCCTCACTACTTGCTCCAAGGTGCCTTACAAGGTGCAGCTCTTCACCCAGCCACATGGCAGGCAACACTGTACTTGAGAAATGATGGACACTTACTGGATAGTATGTGCAAACAATTTGATTTGTCCAAATCTGAACCTTAGCAAAGCCACCCATAGTGAAAACTTATAAGTCAAGGTCATGAACTAGTTTCTTGTAACTAATGGAAGCAAGTCAATGAAATAGAACTGTCATGCCTGAATGGAAGAGGTGGTTGTTACTGTTACTTCCTTTTGCTGTCACAGGGACATTGACAGTGGCAAGTGGGAGATGTTGGTGAGATCCCAAGTGATGGTGACTTCTTGGTCTGCCCAACCACAACACATGTGAGATGAGAGTCTGTGGCCTTTCAGTCCTCGGGCACACTGGTGGTCTCCTGCCTCAAGCTTATTTAACTTGTGTCCTCCCTGGCAACAGGGAGTCATGGGTTAATGTCACCTGCCATGCCTCTTTCTGCAGGGAAAATATAAAAAGACTCAAATTCAAGTTGTAACTTCCCTTAGGCAGTATAGGCCTGTAGGCTGCAACCCCGATTTCACATCCGAAGGCTGGGCTGCCCCAGAACTCTGGAGGGAGCAGTGCCCAGCCGGCTACCTGCTCTGCTCTCCAGACTGTAGTTCACGGGCCTTTTTGCAGCCAGACCAAGATAGGCAGTGCTAGGAGATTCCTGCTGGCCGGAGCAGCCATCTTGTAGGGTGTGGGGCTGGGCTTTAGAAGTTTCACATGCAAGAGCACAGAGCTCTGTTTTACCCGTGAAACATTGGCAACTCTAAGGGACTTTGCTTTTGAGGGACTTTTGGTCTGACTTGCCGTGAGCACTTTGAGCTCCTGGGTTGGTTGGTTGGTTGGTTTGGTTGTTTTAACTTTGATTTTTCTTTTCATAAAGTTTATTAGAAGTCAGACCTTGTGAGCAAAACCATGGTCTACTTCAGCTGCCATCCAATGGGTCAGTTTAATCAGTGGTATTACAGTTCATGGAAATGATTTTTGAAATGAAAGGGAAGATGATGTACCTACATTGTAAAATGGTTTACAATAAAGTTTGACATCTTATTACAGTTTTTTAAAAAAGAAGCCATCACTTTTGTGGTTGTTGGTTTTGTGTTCTCTGGCATTGAAACAGGTCTGTGGGGTCAGAAAGATTTCCCTGGCGAATTAGGTTTTTCCCAGGAAACAGTGTGAACCTTGCATAGCCTCATGGCAGAGGTGAGTTCCAAAATCTGCCAAGGAAAAAAAAAACACACATGCTCTTGCCATTTCCACTTCCTTGCTAATGAGAGTCGAAGCTCCTCTACCTCCGGAAGAATGAGTTAGGGAGACAAAGTAAGGAGTGATATCCCACATCCTCATCCCTGAGGTCACAGGGCTAGAAGGCAGGTCCCTGGGCAGAGCCAGCTGTGGGCAGTGCCACAGCATCAGTCACCACTCACAGTGGCACCCCTGAGCCAGCAGAAGGGCCCTCACGAGGTCTGGCCTGCTCTCAGATGCCTATTGGCCTGTGTTTGGAGTCCTGGGAATTCCGCATGTCAACACTTGCTTCAGACCAAGCCTGGCAGTCCTGGCCTCCTGGAACCGGGATGGGGCGGGGCAGAGGATTGGGCTGGGGTTCAAGGTGTGACAGCCCTGGAGTGGCAAATGTCAGTGTCTGGTTGGGTTCCATCTGCCTGGAGCCTTCAAGGATAAAAATAATCTCCATCACAAACTGAAAAGGAGCTTGGGAAGCATCTGATCTGATGGGAAGGGCCCTGACCTCCCCATATCGACACCTCACACCTGCCCTAGGGTTAAGGTCCTCCCTGTGCCCTGCAGGATCTTCCCCTTTCAAGGATGGGGTATTAGGAGCTTCCAGAAGAGGAGAGCCAAGTGGACTTTCTGGGGAATGCTTGGGCCTGTTCTTGTCTTCACAGCTCAATACCTAGAGTGGTTTCACTCTCTCCCCACCCTCTGGCAGCAGCTTAAACTCTTCTGTAAGCCAGCCCCGCCTCTGTTACCTCACCTCTGTCAGAGGTTCTGTACTAAGACTGTTCTCCACCTTCGTATCACTAGTGCCCTCACCATGGAACATGGTTTTTACCCCAATCTTTCCAGGGCCCCTTACCCCCGCCTTGCTTTGTGCCTTTGCTAAACTTGCACTGGGATCCAGCTGTAGAGACAACAAGGGCATTAGCAAAAACATGAGCAGCTTTCAGACTCCCTGTGGGCTCAGTTTCTCCACCTGTGAACCAGTTGGTAGCCCCTGGCTCTGAATCTGCTGTGAAGGCCCAGTGAGCTCTCCATGAGCAAATGACTCTGAGCAACAGACACAGGAGGCTCCTGCCCTGCCGTCCTGTGGCAATGGAAAATCTCTTTCCATTGGAATTCAGGGGAAGGGACAGAAGAGAAAGAAAAACAAGTCTGAAGCAGTCCAACCAAGATAGCGCCCTCCCTTTCCTCTGGGACACCCCCACATGCTAGGATGAGCCCTGTGGAGGAACAATTCAGATTGTCACACATTCCAGGACCCACAACCATAAACAGGCAGCAAGTTCCAGCAGTGACAGCACCTTCTACTTGCAAATAAACCATCTGTCCCTAAGGGCACAGGGTCTCCCCAGTCACCTGCTTTTATCAGGGCTGTGGCCCCCAGGCAGCAGTGCTGAGCGAGCCCCTCTCATCTCCGAGAATAAACTCTGAAGCCAGCTGCTGTGTGGACCTGAATCATCAGGGAGCCTGTTGGAGGAGGGGCAGTGACTTCTCAGGACAGACAAGCAAGATATATAAGCTCCAGCAAGCTGGACTCTGCTCAGATCTCTTCCACCAACTGCTGCCTGTCTGAGAAGCACCTTCAAGAGCCAGCGCGCACACAGCACCCACCATGTCCCAGGTAGGAGGGCCAGCACAGGATGTGTTGGTGCCAAAGGCGGTGGAGGTGGAGTCCTGGACACTTTCGGCACTGACAGCTGTGTCTTGAGTTGAGCCCCAAACATGGACAGGAGGCTCTGCAGCTCCTGGGAGGCAGGGGCTCAGATAGGACACACCAAGGAGTACCTGTTCAGTGTAGCTTTAGTGGGATTCTTTGGCTTGTTAGGAGGGGTGGGGAGATATGTGTAGGGGGCTTGTGTGTGTGTGTGTATGTGTGCATGCATGTGCGTGTGCATTCCTGGTATAACTCAGCATGTAGAATTTTGCATATTTGTAGATGTGGCTGTTCACATAAGACCATACCTTTCTCTGTGTGTGTGTATCCACAAGGCTGTATCTATGTGTGTACATATGAGGCTGTATCTGTGTATGTATGTCCATGAGAGTGCATCTGATTATATACATGATGTGTGTGTATGTGTGTACACACGAGGCTGTACCTTTAGGGACACAGCTGTATGCCCTGTTATCTCCCCAGTAGGGTGTATGCCTATGCACTGGTGTAGTGTATTGCCCTAGGAGCCTAGCCCAGGCTGAGGGAAGGAACCCCTGCTCTTGCCTCCCGTGAGTCTGAGGAATGAGGCCTCAGACTCATAGGCACTGGAGGTTAAGAAGTAGGGTAAGCCCCGAGTCTAAATGGAAGTCAGCAGTGGAAGGACAGATAGACCAGACTGCCAAGGAGGAAAGTTGTTCTTGCTGCCTGCCTCATGGGTGGGTGCTGACTTCAGACTGTAATTTTGTGGGCATCTGGTCCCCCTAACTCATTTCTACCCCCTCAAAACACAAAAGTAAATATTGGTGCTTTTTTGGAAGGGGGGCAATCCCTAAGGGACCCTGCCACACAGTGAGCAGGTCTCAGAACTCACCAAGTAGGACTGCTCAGTCTCAAAGCTAATACCTTTCCCTTTGCCCATTGTGCCCAGCCCTGAGCTTGACTAGGCAGATGGACAAGTCAGGCCAAGAGGGCTGGGAAACTTGTGGTGGGTGGATTATAGTCAGGAAGTCTTCCTGGAAGAGGAATGTGGCCTTGAATCGACTTGAGTTCAGTGAACAGGGAAGAGAGGTCTTGGCCAAGGTGCATAGGAAAGGGGTCTCTGCCTCAAGGCCTCAAGTGGTAAGATGAAACTCTGGGGTCTCCAAGACTGGTGCCGAGGAAGCCCCCATCAGGAAGAAGCGCCCCCCTGTGAAGGAGGAGGACCTAAAGGGGGCTCGAGAGAGCCTGACCAAGAACCAGGAGATCAAGTCCAAGACCTACCAGGTCATGCGGGAGTGTGGTGAGTGTCCCCCAGTCGGGTGGGGCTGGGACTGAGGGCTGGGGCACAGATATGTGTCAGTGGTGGGGACAGGGGTCAGGGTTCCTTTTCTAAGAGTCCAGATTTCCTGGGCTCAGGAAAGGGTGCTCCATACCCAAGGGTCCTCCCCTCCCAGGAAGCCCAGCTGGGCCCTGACTGTACCTTCTCCCACAGAGCAAGCTGGCTCAGCTGCCCCGTCAGTGTTCAGCCGTACCCGCACAGGAACAGAAACAGTCTTTGAGAAGCCAAAAGCCGGACCTGCCAAGAGTGTCTTTGGCTGAGAAGTGCACACCATGCCCCTTGCCATCGAACACCTAGACACAGGAGCCTTTCCCAAGAACTCTTTTTTTAATGACAGAATACCCCCCCTCCCCTGCTGCCTCTGGAGCTACCACTCTCTCCCATGGCCCTGACCCTTCAGCCAAGGGCTCTGCACCAGCACCTTGGAATCACCAATAAAGAGGATGCCAAGTGGCTCCAGAATTTGGAGGGTGTTGATTGGTCCCTAGCCATGACCATTGGGGAGAGGGAGGACAGGGTGAGGGTATGGAATGTGTCCTGTACTCTTCCAGGGCATTTGTGGGGTGAGTCCAGAGGATAACGCAGGTGCTGTTGTGGCCACTGCCACATACTCGAAAGAGCCTTGAACATGGAAACCCAGCACTGACCTGTGTAACTTCAGAAAAGACTCTTCTTAGGCTCAGTTTCCCCTTCTGTACAAAAGAGGAGTTGAGCTGGAGCCTATTTCATAAAGCAGGCCACAGTTAGCAGGCTCAAAGTGAAGTGAGTGGGGGCTCGGGGCTCTCCCCCTCCCCCTGCCTTCCACAGAAGCCGTTGAGATGTCTCCAAGGACCCCAAGGCTCTGCAGCACCTAGGGTCCTCAAAGCCCCTTCCCCTGCACCCTTGTTCATGCTGCCTCCTTACCAGCATTTGTCCCCCTCCAAGACAAACCAGATCAAGATTCCCTTCTGGCAGTTTCCTGAGCTACTGTCTCCTCTTCCAAACAGCAGGGTGAGCCTCCCCCTTTCCACTCCCACCAAGTTGCCTGGGGCATGGGAGCATCAGATTCTCAGCCAATGTGATTCACTGCTCTTCAGTCCTGGTCCCCAGTGTGCATAGAGCTGTCAGACCCAAGACACCATAGAGCCCTGTTCCCACTGTGGTGGCAAGACACAGACAGGCTGACGTGGCTCCTTTCAGGCTAAACTGGCCAGTTCCAGGCTTGCAGTGCCTGACTCAGGGCTAATGCCTGCTGGGGAGCCTCTTGTGTCCTGCAGGGCAGGCGGACCTGGCTAGATGGAGACTTTCCCATGTTCCCAGCCAGCCTGACCTCCTTATATAGCTCTGATTCCAGGCCGGGCCCATGATCTGTGCCCCAAGGGAGCAGACCTTCTGTAGGGAAGGGCCTGGACCTACTCACAGGGTGCCTGGGAGAGGCTTTTTCCTCAGATACTGAAGGAGTGTGTTCCCCCTGTGTACCAGTCATATCCAGAGCCAAAAGGGTGAGCAGTAGAGATGTGCACCGAGATGGGGCTTTGGGCCATAGTCATGCTGAGGAAGGGGATCATTTTACTTGCAGCCCTAGAAGTAGCTCCAAAGTCTACTGGATGCACCAGATGCTACTGGCTCTTATGGAGGCAGGGCTGATGGAGAAGACCCTTTCCTAGCCTCTGGAAGCCACTCACTGCCCCAGGGCCCCGTATGGACCCCCCCACCAAGACGACTGGCCCCCCTCAGGGCAGGTGTTTCTGAGCCATCCTCTTTCCCTGACCCAGGGCTTGGCACCTTGCCACGCTTTCATGACTCATCTTTACCCATCTGTGGCCATAGACTTAGGGGTTGGCTTTCCCAGAACCACCAGGGAATGCAAGCACCAGCTGCAGCCAGAGTGCTGAATATTTACTTACTCTTGCTGTTCTAAAAGGAGCACTTTGGCTTTATTAAAGGCACACTGACAAAATTCACCAGGGACCCACCACAGGCTCTTAGGCAGCTCTTGCAGAGGTCTGGGCTGCACCAGCATCAGACTACTCACAACAGCAGCATTCTGCCCTCTCACTGAAACAATTCACAAACTCCCTTGGCACGACTGACCTCTATGCCATCACTCCCTCAGGTGCTCTTTGTGCTGTTAACCCTCTTGTGTTCTGTGCTCTCTGTCAATAAATGCCCTGCATGAAGGCCTCTGGATCATATGGTGTGGCGTCTTGTTGACTCTCCATTTGTATTTTCAAGTTGCAGGTCTTCCTTGTCTTGGGGAAGGCCCTGCTAGTGTTGAGCCTAGAGCCCTGGCTAGATTAATGTTGCCCAAATAGCAGCCTGGGACCTTGGGGGAGAGAAGGGATGTCCTGGACCCAGTACCTCTCATTCTATAAATAAGACCAATCCATCCTGCCTCAGCCCCAGTAGATCTTGCTTCACACAGACATCCAAGAGCCTCTCAATGCCTTCAGTTCCCCCCATGGTCCACACACACCTGGCTGCCAAGGCCCCCTTCCTCCAGGGAGCTGCCTGGAATATCCCTGAAGCCCTAGTCTTCCTGTCCATCCCTCTGCTTCTACCCAGGCTGGACTTACAGAAAGCAGATTCTTCACATTGTGTCCCCCAGCTCTGGGAACCTGGGAGCTTGTGAGTGGAATGACTGGTGTGAGGGGTGGGGATGCCTGGAAGGGTTCTGAATATTTCAGAAGGGGCGTCAGTGCCCCACTCCAACCTGAGCCTGCCTTTCGTCAATATCCGTTCCTGCCCCCAGCCAAAGTCCATGGGACATTCGTCATTCGCTTGCTTATCTGAGGGTACTGTGATTTTTGGCTTGTGGATCCCAGTTTCCCAGAACCTTGCCCCCGCAGGGGTGGGGCAGCAAACAAGTTACTAATTCATTCCCCCACTTGCTCTCAAGTTCAGAAGCAGCCTGGCAGACGTGGAACCACGATGAAACTCCCAGCCCCTTTCCGCACCTGCGGCCTCGAGCTGGCCCTGTTCTCGCTGCTGGTCGTCCTCCAGACCACCACTGCCCAAAAGGTAGCGGGCAGCCACAAGTGCCTGTGTGCACCTGCACATGGGCTGCAGGAGCGGGGGTGGGAGAAGGTGTCTGGGGAGTTGGAAGGCCTCCGCTGGTTCAAGCGTGTCAATACGAGTGCGTGTGCATCAGTGTGTGTGCAAAAGAGTGCACTGGCCACCCACCAGGTGCTACCCTGGAGCCTTACAGGTATTCTCTCATTTAGTAGAGGGGGTGATCCTATTATTTCCATTTGAAGATAAGGAGTCCAGCTCTACCACTCTCTAGCTGAGCGACTTAGGAGAAATTATGCTGCGTCTGTCTGTCTCCTCATCTGTAAAACAGGGTAGTAATAGAACCGGTTCAGAGAATTGTTGTGAAAATCAAGCTCATAATACTTTAAAGTACTTAGTACAGTGCCTGGTGCAAACAAGCATTTAAACGAGCCCTCAGCACCTCTGTACCAAGCTGGGAGTACAGGCAGCTGTGTGTGCTGGACAGAGCTCGTGCGTGCACCAGCATGCAGCACAGACAGGTAAGAGGTGTGTGAAGCTCTGCATGGGTGCACATGTGTCCTTTCTTGAGACCACAGACCTCAGGACAAAGAGCATGTGCTTGGGGAGAGCCCTGAGGAGGTGTGTGGGGAACTGGAGAGGGTCCTTCTCAGGGAAAAGGGGCAAGGAGGGAGATTCCCAATTCCTAGAGACTGGACCCTCATCTACCTCCCAATCCTTCCAGCTCCTGTGGGTAGGAAACTGGTGGGAGCTGCTTTCTCATTTCCATGGAGGCCAAAGACTCCAGAAGTCAGAGAACCTGTTCACTGCCCTTCCTCTGGGCAGAGCTAAAGCTGCCTGACCCCACCAGGGCCCTTACCTCTGCTCAGATGTTAAGTATGATACCCTTCAGACATGGGCTCAGGCTTCACCAGCACTAGGAGCTTGTCATTCTCCACAGGGCACCACGGGCCCTATAGATCAAGACAGCCTGGGACCTGCTCAGTGGCTCGGGTGGGTTGGGAGGCAGGGTTTGGTCTAGACGCAGGGTCAGGGCCCACTCTTGAATCGGTGGTGTTGAAACTGTCCAACCCCCTTCTCCTTCACTGGTCCAGAATGGCATCGACATCTACAGCCTCACTGTGGACTCCAGAGTCTCCTCCCGCTTTGCCCACACGGTTGTCACCAGCCGGGTGGTCAATAGGGCCGATACTGTGCAGGAGGCCACCTTCCAGATGGAGCTGCCAAAGAAAGCCTTCATCACCAACTTCTCCATGTAGGTGCCTTCCTACCCTTCTTCCCCCCACCCCTGTACTGCACTGCATCAGACCCTCTTCCTGAAGGGAGGCATACCGGGATGTATGTCTTCAGGAGTGTGTGCTCCACCCAGAGGCCGTGCAGGGAGAGGGGCTTTACTAGGGAACTTGCATGTTCTGAGATGTCTCCATCTGACATCCTTAAGTGCTGCCCAGGTGGTGGGCAGAGAACCACAGCATCTTGTTTCTTTGCCTTTGTGGAGCACAGAAATGGGGCATCCTGAGGCCAGACCCAGGCAGGAGGGGATCACCAAAAGGCAGATTCCAGCTCAGAATATAGAAAATTTCCTAACCCTCGGCCTGCCCCACATTGGAGAGTCACCCCAAGGAGGATCCTTGTCATGCCCCAAACTGGGATACTGGGATACTGCAGAGGGCATTTTTGCTTGGGCCACATCTGAATACACCTGAGGTTTCTGTGGACTCTGAGTCAGTGATGATTCTTCCTTTGTCCCCTGCCCTCTACCCCGACCCTTCCCGACTCAGTTTTGCAATGTTTGCTAAAGACTCTCTGTCTGTCCTTGGCCCCCAGGATAGGCTGCCCAGAAACAGGGAGGGTGATGGTGGGGCGGAGAGGAAGTCTCAGGCAGGGTCCCCATGTATGCTAGGGCCTCTGGAAAACAGTGGGAGTTGAGGTCCCTGCCATTGGCTCTGCCCTCTCTCCCCACTCACTCCCTGTTCCACAGCAGCCCCTACTTTTCCTAACCCAGAGCCCACACCTGTGCTGCCCAACTTGTAGTGTGAGCCTCACAGGCTGTGCTGGCGGGTGCCAAGACCAGCAGTTGCCAGGTCCCGGCCCATCACATCTCCTGAGAGCCCAGGACTGTCATGGCCCCTCTCTGGACCCAGATCCTGTTGTTGCATGAGATAGGGGAGTGAGAGGGCTTCCTGCTCCCTGACCTGGTCAGGAGCCCCAGCTGGGCATCTGGAAGGATCAAGAACTGTTCACCCAGGAGGAGGAGCCCTGCTGCCCACTCACCTGGCCCAGAGTTAAAGTATAACCAGGAAGGTCAGGGAGGAGGGACGTGTGGTCCTGACATCCTGACTGCTCCCCTTCCCGCCCACCTCCACACACTCCCACTCTTCCATGCAACCTCAGATGGAGCCGGTATATGCTTACCAGACATGCCCCTACTCAGCCTACAGGGAGGTTTTGGAGAAGTCATTTTTCTTCTAGAGAAATGGCCTGGGCAGATTTTTCTCAGCCCCAAAGGATGGCAGCTAGAAGCATGTCCACCACCCCAGAAGACCCATCCACCAGTTGCCCAAAACCTATTTCCAGAGATGCCAACCTCCCTGCAGAGTGCCTACCCTGTATGGGGGGAAGAGGGAGACAGCTGCAGGGGAAAGGGGCCAGAGCCTTCGGTCTCATCTCCCTCTTCCTCAGTCTTGGCCCAAGTGCCACTCAGAAAACTCTTGCTGGTGATTAACTGGGAGATGGAAGGAGCAAGTTGGTGTCTGAGGCCATGCCGGACATGAGAAGAAAGACAGGATTTAGCCAGCCCTGCCCATGGCAGCTTCCCCTCTCCTGTGCCTTCCACAAAATGCAGGTGTACTGATACTGTGCATGCCTCAGGGAAGGTGGAGGCCTGGTGCACTTTAAAGAGGCCCCCACCCTCACCCAGTATCCTACACAGGGTTTTGTATGCAATGGGTGCATAATAAAATAGCAGTGGGCACCAGCAGAGACAGGAGTCGCTGTGTCAAGAGACACACCAAGTCCTGGAAAGACTCCCTGGAGGAGGCAGGAGTGGAGTAGGTCCCCCTCCCACCAGACAACACTCACCCTCCTGCCCCAGGACCATTGATGGTGTGACCTACCCAGGAAACCTCAAGGAGAAGGCTGCAGCCCAGGAACAGTACAGCGCAGCGGTGGCACAGGGAAAGAGCGCCGGCCTTGTCAAGTGAGCCAATGGGGAGCTCCAGCAGGGAGGGTCATAGACAGAGGATGTCCTGCCTTTGGTCCTCAACCTCGCTCCTGCCTCCCACCCTGTCTGGCCTGGAGGGGCAGGCCTGATGCCTTCCTTCCCCAGGGCCTCCGGGAGAAAGACAGAGCAGTTCCAGGTGTCGGTCAGCGTGGCTCCTTCTGCCAAGGTCACCTTTGAGCTGGTGTACGAGGAGCTGCTCCAGCGGCGTCTGGGGGTGTATGAGCTGCTGCTGAAAGTGCAGCCCCAGCAGTTGGTCAAGCACCTGCAGGTACCTGGCACTGCATCTTCCCAGGAGGCCTAGACTACCCTTGCCTTACTGAGAGCAGTCCCTCCTCACCCCTGGGCCTCCTGTGAGGCCCAACCCAGGCTCCCAATTGACCCAGTGACCCACATCTTGCCTCCAGATGGACATTCACATCTTCGAGCCCCAGGGCATCAACTTCCTGGAGACGGAGAGCACCTTCATGATCAATGGGCTGGCAGATGCTCTCACTACCTCAAAGAACAAGACCAAGGTAGGCCTGACACAGTCAACGGGAGGGGGTATCAAGGGCCCTATCTTCAGCCCAGTCCTGTGAACCTGGATTTCCTGAGAGCAAGACAACTGGGCGGATTCTGTGAGGTTTCTGAGATCTCTGTGTCCATGCTTCATTTGACAGAGGGGGAGGGCGAGACCTAGAGGATAGTAGGCCCTCAAATGAGCCCTGAGACCTGTGGGAGAAGAAGTTGGGTCGTAGACTGATGAGAGAGTCCTGGGCCCAGGTGGGGAGAAGGAGACGGCACACATCCTGAGCCAGACTCTGCTTGCATAGTTCCAGGATTGGGACTCACTCTCACAACCCATCTCTTTTATGAAGGTAGCCTGTCAGTAGCTCAGCCTGAGAAAAGTTTCCAGGAATACTGACTCAAGACTGCATCCTGAAGTTCTGACTTCCCAATATACAGACAGGGTGGAGGGTGTTATCGGCACAGCCTTGCTGCTCCTCTCAACAGCAACTTGGGTTGTTCCTCCAGGCTCATATCCGGTTCAAGCCCACGCTGTCCCAGCAGCAAAAGTCTGAGCAGCAGGACACAGTCCTGGATGGCAGCCTCATCATCCGGTATGATGTGAACCAGACCCTCTCTGGTGGCTCCATTCAGGTAGGTGGACTCCAGAGCAACCTGGAAATCTGTCCGCCCTCAAGGACCTGAGCTTGTGTATTCTAAAAGAGGAAAATGACCACCCCTACTTGGCAGTAGGCACCGGGGGCCACCACAGACAGAAAACAGGCAGTTTAATTGTATCGTCCCTGAGACCCTTCCCTTTCAGAGGCAGGAAAGGTCTGTCTCTGGGAAGAGCTGCCCTGAGGGTCCCTCTTTGTCTTTGTTAGCAGGAGACTCACAGTTCTGTTTTATGCTCAATTACAGCATAAAAGGATGTCAGGTTTATTGTGTCTGAGCCTTTTAGTATAGGCTACCTCAAAAACGAAAGCAAGTAGGAGGTTAAGTTGCAAGGAGAGTGCTAGTGGGCTGTGCATAAGCGGGAAAATCTTCTGCAAGAGAGGGGCTGGACTGACCCCTGAAAGATGGCTGAGTTCTGGGGAGGTTAGTAGTGGATGGAGCTGGGGGAATTGGAACAAGGAGAGCCTAAGAATTTGGGTAAGGAGGCTGGATGGAGAGGGCAGGATGCAGTTCTGATCACCTGCGTGTGGTCTCACTGTGGCCACAGATCGAGAACGGATACTTTGTGCACTACTTCGCCCCTGAGGGCCTGTCCACAATGCCCAAGAATGTGGTCTTTGTCATTGACAAGAGTGGCTCCATGAGTGGCAGAAAAATCCAGCAGGTAGGTCCTGTGGACCAGGGCAGGGCCCTGAAGACTCCCAGGCCCCTCGTGCCTTCAGCTCGGGTCCAGTAGGCAGACCCTCCTTTCTCCATCTTTCTGGGCTGGGGGCTTCTAGGGGCCAGGATTGGCCCAAGTTTGGGGCAGCTCCTGTCCCTAGAGCATATACCATGTTTCTAACCCAGACAGGAGTCCAGGGATGCCAGCCCAGGGGCAGCTGAGCCCTCAGGGAGCCTTCCAAGTCACCCACTTGTCCCCTTCCCCCCCTTTACCAGACCCGAAAAGCCCTAATCAAGATCCTGGATGACCTCAGCCCCAGAGACCAGTTCAACCTCATCATCTTCAATGAGGGAGCTACCCAGTGGGAGCCATCGCTGGTGCCAGCCTCGGCCGAGAATGTGAACAAGGCCCGGAGCTTTGCTGCCCATATCCAGGCCCACGGAGGTAACTGCCTCTACAGATCTGCTGCTGGGGGCTCCTGGGGCACCTGGCTGGGAGTCACCCTGAGAGCCTGTGCCCCTCAGGGACCAACATCAACGATGCGATGGTGATGGCCGTGCAGCTGCTGGAGGACAGCAACCAGAAGGAACTGCTGCCCTCAGGGAGCGTCTCACTCATCCTCCTGCTCACGGATGGCGACCCCACCGTAGGTGAGGCCACTGCTGTGACTCTGGAGCACACTGCTCAAAGGCTTACTGTGGGACCTGGGCAGGAAAGGGGGTTGTTGAGGCCCCCCTAGTTCTGAGATTTCAGAAGTATCCATTGAGCAAATCATTATTTTCTCACCCTCATCCCAAACTCACGGGTCCAGGGGAGACTAACCCCACGCAGATTCAGAAGAATGTGCGGGAAGCCATAGGCGGCCAGTACAACCTCTTCTGCCTGGGGTTTGGCTTCGACGTCAGCTATGCCTTCTTGGAGAAGCTGGCGCTGGACAATGGCGGCTTGGCTCGGCGCATCTACGAGGACTCAGACTCTGCCCTGCAGCTCCAGGTGCCAGCGGGCACCAGGTGGGCTGCCCAGAGAGGTGGGCACGCCCCAGCCCAGCCTTCATGACATACCCCACCCTGCAGGACTTCTACCAGGAGGTGGCCAACCCACTGCTGACGGCAGTGGCCTTTGAGTACCCCAGCAATGCTGTGGAGGAGGTCACAAAGGACAACTTCCGGCTCTTCTTCAAGGGCTCGGAGATGGTAGTGGCTGGAAAGCTCCAGGACCACAGCCCTGAGGTACTGACAGCCAGAGTCAACGGGAAGGTGGTGAGTATGACCAAGCAATCCTGGAGGGGAGGAAGCGGTGGCAGCCCAGCCTCTGCAGCCAGAACCACTGAGCTCCAGCTTGTCTCAGGGTATCCTGAGCCTCAGGTTTCCCCTATGCCACCTGTGAGTAACACCAGTTTCTTTCAAGACCACCTGTGTTGTGCCTCGCTCATGTGAGCACTCGGTAATCAGTTTGCACACCTGTGAGCACAAGGTGCCAGCAAGGACTCCTTCCTAGCTGTCAGCCCCTCCTGTCCTCATAATGGCCCTTTGAGGTTACAGTGAGCAGGGAGTATGCTCCCATTTCTCAGATGAGCAGACTGAGCCCCAGGCAGGGCAGGTAACCTGCCCCAGGCCACACTGCAGCTGGGTTAAGAACCTAGCTCACTGCGTGGCGCCCTGTCCTTGCTCAGGCTTCTCTGCCTCTTCCCAGGAAGTCTGTCATTCCACAAAGAGAAACTGAGCACCTGATCTGTGCCAAGTCCTTCTTTAGACCCTGAGGATGCAGCAGTGAATGAGGCCAACCCCTCCATGTCCTCATGGGAGAGACAGCCCCCAGATACTTCATCACACAAGCAAGGCACTACAGGCTGGGATCTAACCCAGAAATTCAGGAAAGCAGCAGTGGGAGCCCCAGCCTGATCTGGGGATCAGGGAGGGCTTCCTGGAGGAGGCTCAGCAAAGACTGAGAGAGAAGTAGGAGGTGGGCAAAACCAAATGGTGGACTGATGGAGGAATATTTTAGACTCCTGTGACAGGAGGCAGCATTTGTGGAGGAAATGGCAGTAGGTATCAGGGCCCAAGGCCTTGTCTCAGGAAAAGCAGCCTGCCTGGCTTCAAACCCAGTTCTGCTACCTCCCAGAGGTGAGACATGGGGAAGTCACTTAACATCCCCGTGCCTCAGTTTCCTCCTGTGTAAAATGGAAATAAGTCACATGCCTACCTCATAAAGTCACTGTGGGATTAATTTTTGATCTAGTGTAAACACATGTTTGCAACTGATGGGAGCCTGGAGGCCAGGGGTTCTCAAGATGTGGAAGCCAAGGTGGCCCAGGGTCACAGGCAGAAAGGTCTTTGTTTTAGTCATTATGTGTCTATTTTAATGTGTGTTCTGAAAAGTATGACTCAAATCTCAGACCTAAGATTTCACAGATATTATTGATTGGGATAAGGCCAAATAAAAAATGTTAGCCTATTTAAAGTTCATTCAGGGAAAAACATCAAATAAGTAGCTGTTCGTGCAGATAAGGCAAAATTTGTGCAGGTAGCTCATATGTGTCAAAGCTTTGGGAGGCCAGGCCTGGGCAAGAGACAGAGGTGGCTGGTTCCAGCAGTGGGGGCAGGAGCTGATCCACGTTGTAGAAGGATCTCTAGGGAGAGAGCCTAGGGGTCCTCTGCCCCCAGAGCCGTTTCCCAGGCTGTTAGCTAGGTCAGCCTGAGAGCTCAGGCCCCTCCTTGGAGGAAGAAGCAGCCAGTTCACACAGCTTGGGCCCATGCTTCCTTGTCATCGTCCCACCCTAGCTCGCCCCAGCAGAGGAGCCAGTGTGGGCAGGGGACAGTTGTTGGAGTGAATGGGACCCAAATCCAGAGCTGTGACATCTGAGTTCTATTCCCAACTCTGGCCACTAGGGAAAAGGCCCTTTGTCCCATTTCCTCGTCTTTGGGCAAGAGTGGGCTGTATCTGGGGACCCTTTCTCCACACCACCTTGCAGATCCTTCCTGCTGCTGTTTCTACACTGGCCCGGGGTTCTAATCCCATCCTTATTTCCCTTTCCCTCAGCAGGTTGGCTGGTCTGAGCTCCAAGCTCTGCACCTGCCTCGTTGCATCTGGGATCATTTGCTACCTTTTATCTCCACCTCTTCTCATCCTGGGAGGCTCTGTGACCACACCCCTTACCTCTGCACCCCTCCCTACCTCCAGATGAGTCTGCTGGGGTTCTGGGAAATCTGGGATTGGATCTCCAGGCTCCTGGCTGGGTGGGAAATCTATTCTCACATTCAGGGACTTCCCATGCTTTAATTTCCTACACTCTTTGCACCCCTGAACTCCCTCCCTACCCTCAACTCTACTCGGAGAAAATGTGGTCCTCGCAGTCAGTGCAGGGGACCTGCACCAGCTGCCATCATGAGAGAGCTCAGAAGTGCCAGGCCAGGTGCAGATGTCAGGCCCTCACTACTCCTGCCCTGACTGGGCCCCTCTTTCTAGCATAAGCAGAATATCACCTTCCAAACGGAAACCAGCGTGGCGGCGCAGGAGGAGGAGTTCCGGAGCCCCAAGTATATCTTCCACGGCTTCATAGAGAGACTCTGGGCATACCTGACTATCCAGCAACTGCTGGAGCAGAGGTGAGTGACCCTGGCCCTTGTGAGCCACACGCAGCGTTAGCAACTCCCCAAGCCAGTCACAAGTGGCAGGCACAGCTGGCATGGCATCTCCTAAGCATGGAGAGAGCGGTCTTGGTGTCGTGTCTGGGCTACAGATTCTCCCAGAGAGATCCCCCAGAAGGGACCAGATGAGAAATCTGTTCCCACATTCAAGGACCTTCTGAGCTCTGCTGTCCTCGACCTACAGTGTTTCTGCACCAGATGCGGAGCGGCAGGCCCTTGAGACCCGAGCACTGAACTTGTCCCTCAGTTACAACTTTGTCACTCCTCTCACATCTATGGTGGTCACCAAACCTGAAGGCCAAGAACACTCTCAAATTGCAGAGAAGCCTGTGGAAGATGGTGGGTGTGGGATTGGGGTCTCAGCTTTGGGAGCAGTTTCCACCCAGCATTCTCCCCCGCCCTTCCCCTGCATCCCCACCAAGACCCAACCCGCCATCCACAGACTCCCAGGGTCCCAGGGATTCATTTCACTGAGGTCTCCTGGCTCCCCAAATTCATTGCACATTTGTTGTTCTGGAGTTGCGTAGCAAGACTAAATATAAGCACTTCAAATTGATCAAATTGACTGTCTTTCTCTCTCTCTCTCTCTCTCTCTCTCTCTCTCTCTCTCTCTCTCTCTCTCTCTCTCTCTCTCTCCCCCTCCCTCCCTCTCTCCCTCTCTCACCCAGAAAATAGCAACAGGAATGTCCACTCAGGTAAGGGCCTGATATCCTTAAAGACTGGCCTTGGTGGTAGTCTGCTGACACAGGGTCCAGGGCACCAGCCCCACAATGTCACTGGTTAGGGCCCAGGTCCACCCCAGGCCTCTCCAGTCCTGGTGCCAGAAGGTGGCATTGTCTGACCAAACACACGGGTACATTTTGTTGCCTGCTCATTCAAATGTGGGCTGCCCCTCAGTCCCTGTCCCTGGCACTAGGAACACAGTTTCCATCTAACTGGAACCCTAGGAAGGTGGGTCCAAGAAGCAAACCTAGGTTCCACTGATTTCCAGGTAACATTCTCTTCAGCTTTCTTGTCAGAGGAGACCCACGGCCTAGAAAACCAGGTGCCAAAGAGGAAGGGGGTGAGGGGAGGGAGAGTGACAAAACTGTGACCCCCCGGCCACAGACTAGGTTCTGCCCCTGGCTGTGACAGGTGAGTGCCTTGTCCAGCTCACCTGGGTGGTGACAGCCCTGGGAATTAAGTTCAGGTGTGTCTGATTAGGAATCAGCTATGCACACACTCCCCTTGGTGGAAGAAGAGGACTAAGTAGACCAGGTAATCTGAGGGGGTCCTGCGGGGGGGAGGCATGACACCTGGGGGGAGGAGTTAGGAAGAGGTCCATTGTTGTTCCAGGGTTAACTCTCTCCTCTGCACACACTCCCCTTGGCGGAAGAGGAGGACTGAGTAGACAAGGTAGTCTGAGGGGTCCTGCAGGGGGGAGGCATGACACCTGGGGGGAGGAGTTGGAAAGAGGTCCATTGTTGTTCCAGCGTTAACTGTGGCCAGTGGGGAAAGGGGGAGCCACCTGTCCTGTCCACATCCCATTCCTGGGTGGGGACCCAAACCTGGCTGTTAGGACCCACAGACTGTCTGAGAGAAGGTTGCATGTGTCAACTTCTCCAAAGCTGGCAATCCTGACTTCCCAACGAATTTCGGATATGGAATGGGCAGCTTTCTGAAGATACCTGGACCTCCTGGTGCTCCTGATGTTCCTTCTTCTTATCCCTTGCAACACCTGAACAGGCATGTGTTGCCTGACATGGTAGTACACTGTAAGCCACTTTTGACCCTTTGAGGGCCTTGGTTTTCTTATGATAATCGTTGAACCTGTCCCATGGAGTGGAGTGAGATAAAGCCCTGACCACAGGGCCAGACCAGGGTTGATTGCTGAGGGCAGGATGTAAAGTGATTGTGGGTAGGTTCAATTCAGGTGTTCTCCTGAAGGAGCATCAAGTGTTGGGAGCCTGAGGGTGGGAGCATACTTCCTGAGGGGGCTGGCCTCCCTTCCCAGTTGCTTACCAGCCACCCCTTTGCCTTGTCTTCAGCATTTTATCTCTTTAGGAGTGAGCTCATCTGGCCCTTTCAGCTGTCCCTAGGTTGTGAGAATGCTTTATGTGTCAGTTAGAGCATTAAGGCCAGTAGCTAAAGAAAGCCTTTTGGCCATTTGTTATAATTATTTGGGGTAATATGAAGACCATTCCAGACAAATGCCAGGCTTCAGTGAAAAGGACATCAAGATCCACGTGGCTGGAACAGGGGTTTTCTTGTTGGTGGAGTAATTCATGTTAGAGAACAAGATTGCTATCTCAAAACTAAAAGCCCTTTTTTTTTTTTTGGTCCAAAATGAAATATTTCAAAACTAGTTTCCAATTACCCTTGACAGAGCAGCCTCTCCCACACTCCTTGTTTAGAGGGGACCTTGGATCCCAAGAGGGACAGGGACTTTCCAGTGGTGCTCATCATGGCACTATTTAGACTAGTCATTGCCAACTCCTTTCCTCCTCTTCCCCCACTCAGCTTACGGGCATCAGGCATCCCCCCCGCTCCCCAAGGTAGGATGTTATCTGCCCACCATTTTCACTAAATAGGATTCGCTGAACTCAGAGGCTGACTCATGATGAAACCTTCTAGAAAGGGAGGTCTTCCTCTATTTACAATGCCAACCACGGTCCCTTGAGCCGTTTCTGATCTCCAAATCTGTACTCAGACATGGCTGTAGAGCCAGGTCGGACCTGTCCCCTCAGCATTTTCCCTAATGGCATGATCTTCTGTTTTAAAATCTCCCGTGGCAAAGGCTATTCTAGGTGGGTTGTACGTGTGGGGCTGAGGGGCTGGAACTTAGTGGTGGCAGGCAGCAGTGATGATGGGAGGGTGTGCTGCTTGTTCTGCATCCTGACTGCCTTCTTCTTTTTTGTGTCTGAATGTTCCTGCACTCATGCCTGCTTCAGCATCACAAATCATCTCAAACACTGATCAAGCTGTGTTGCATGGTATGGATATAAAAATCAAAGGCCAGTGTCCCTGGAGTAGCTTCTTGTGCTAATGGGGAGACCCTGGGAGGGGAGAACACTGGGATATCTATGAGCCTGTCACGTGGGCTCCTTGATGTTGAAGTGGAAGGGATCCCTCACTCCACCTATCCACTACACCATCCCTCAACCCCCACTTGGCAGGAAGGAGCTGCCTAAACCCAGACTTTTTCTTTTAGAAACAGCCACAGCAGCCTCATCCCCAGGTAAGTTGCCGGCTCCCTCAGCCCCTGTCCCATCCTTGTCCCCCAGCCTGCTCTCCCTGCCTCAGAAAACATGCACTGGCTGTCTTAGCCCCCATGCAGGTTCCTTCCGTAATCCTGCCGCTGCCTGGGCAGAGCGTGGAGCGGCTCTGTGTGGACCTCAAGCGCTCTCAGGGGCCAGTGAACCTGCTCTCAGACCCTGAGCAAGGTGAGAAGTGCACACCCAGTTGTCCACCCACAGAGAGACCCACTCACCACTCACATCCACTACCGCCTGCCCACAGAGATGCACACAGTGGGTAAAGACCTGGCCCCGTGCAGGCCCGTCCCAGATCATGGCATAGTCATGCCACTGTGCCCTGACACTGGCACTCACTCTCACAGTCACCCCAGGAACCTTTCACTGGGCATCTTCTTTGTCGGTCTTGGTGGTCTGGGCAGATACAAGCACAGTAGCCAGGTGGAAGTGAGGCCAGAGGAGGAGGCCAGAGCTTCCTAAGGGATAGGGGCCTGCCTGGGCTCACACAGGAATGGCAGGGCCTTGGCAGACAAGCAGGGAAAAGGGTAAGAATATTCCAGACGGGGACGTGGGAGGAGGAGGTGTATGTGCTGGTCAGGCCCCACCCCTTCAACCCTGGGTTAGACAAGGAGACGCATACCACTCTGCGATGTTCACACACCCTTGCAGAGCCACTTGGAGCCAAGGGACATCCATGGCTCCCTGGCACCTCGCAGATCCATGTGGTCTCCCACTTCATCTCTCAGGTCCAGCAGTCTGACTGCTCCCTGAGGATGGGGAGCATCGATTCTCCATTTTACCCTTGGCCACAGCACCCAGCTCAGAGCCAGGCACACTAGGGTGGCATTACAAAGACTTACTAACTTGAGACAAGACCTCCCTTCTCAGAAGTCTCATCTGAGGATGGCCATCACCACGGTTTGGGGCCTCTCCAAAGCCATATAAAACCTACAGATGAGTAGAGAGGCTTCAGTGTAAAGTAACAATGAGGAAAGGGATGCCCTTCCTGAGGAGGCGAGTTGGTGCAGAACTCGAGGGGATGTTATCAGGAAGGATGTGATCAGTATCTATCCCTGGCTCAAGCCACAGCTTTGATCTCTCTGGTCCGGTCCTCTCAGGGGTTGAGGTGACGGGCCAGTATGAGACGAAGAAGGCTGGCTTCTCATGGATCGAAGTGACTTTCAAGAATCCCCAGCTACAGGTTCATGCATCCCCTGAACACGTGGTGGTGACTCGGGACCGAAGAAACTCTGTGTACAAGTGGAAAGAGACACTGTTCTTAGTGATGCCTGGGTAAGCCCCAGACCAGGGCCTGGAAGGCGGTTGATCTCTCAGGCTGCACTGGCAGATGATGGTGCTGACAAGTGGCTAGAGGTCACAGACCTGGGGATGGAGTGGATATATTCCTAGGAGGGGCAGAGATACAGACAGCTCTGTCCTGCTCCCCTGCAGCTCTAGAGAGTACTGAGGGCTTGTCCTGAGAACCTAGTTCCCCTCACACCTAACCCAGGTTGCTATCCTGTGCAGGAGATGGTGCTGATTGTGTGTGACCCTGGACAGCCACTTTGCTCCTCTGAGCCTCAGTTTCCTTCCAATAATGAGGGATAATCATCCTGGCCCTGAGTCAGAATGCTGAGTGAGAACCCAGTGAGAGAATGTAGTTGGGAGCACCTTGCCATCAGATGATACGGTGCACACTGGGCACACCAGGGGGCGGCACTCTCTACATAGGGAGGTTATAATGACAGTAATGAGAAGCCAGAGGGTACTGCCTGCCAGGGAACATTATAAATGTCAACCTTGGCATACTCTTGAAGCTCTGAAGAGAGACAAATCCAGCTGGCCTGGAATAGTGGACAGCTGGTGGGTAATAGAGGCGGAAGGCCACCTCACCTCTTCTGGGTGGCGTGGCTGTCCCACTAGAGGCCTTCTAGGGGCAGCTCTCCAGCTCTGAAAATTAGGAGGGGTTGAGGACCCTGATCCTCTGTGGGCAGTGCCCCCTGAGACCCCAGCCTGTGCCGTAGACCATCTTTCCCAGATTATAGAGAGTCTTGTCAACTGCTGCCTCGTTGCATCCCTCCACAGAGACCCTTTTGCACCTGACAAATGAGTGCACACCCAGCAAATCCAAGGGCTCATATAAAAGACTCTCAATTTCATAAAAGGTCTCAAGGTTTCTTATCTGATGTAGTCACAAAAATCAATAGTATTTCCATGCCTAGAAAATGAAATTAAGAATTTCTATTAGTTGTAGTCATAGACAGTCCAAATACTTTCATGAGTAGACATAAGTCAAGAAAAATAGACTATATCTTTTAGATTGAATCCAATCAACAGGACTGTGTAAGTTTTAGTCAAATCCACTTCAGTTAACCTCAGAGTAACTGCAGAGTCTTACTCAACATGCTTAAGGGGGCCTAACATTCATAAGAAGATCAGAAAGGCAAGAATTTCAAAGATCAGAAAGGCAAGAATTTCCTTTTAAGTAAAAAAAGGAGGTGATAGAATGAGAAAAGGCTTACCCTGTAGAAATTAAAGCACATGATTAAGCACTAATCATCAAAAAATGGCACTAGCCATAAAAACAAAAGAGACAGAGTAGATGTATCAGAGAACCTCCCTAGATAGTATAAAACTAGTTCATGAAAAACCAAATTTAAGAAAGCCAGAGGCAAAGGGACAATTACTTTATTTTATAAATATGGCTGAGGAAACCAGAAATCATTGTTAATGTTGCTCCTATTTTACCAATGAGAAAACCAAAAACCAGGGACTTCCCACCCAAAGCACACTGTGACTTACCCAGGACAGAGGGGAACCCCAGCTTACTCCCCACCCCAACTGCTGAGGTTCCATACTGACATCTCTCCCTTCCTGCTCAAGACACTGTGTTTCTCCACAGCCTAAAGATGACCATGGACAAGACGGGTCTCCTGCTGCTCAGTGACCCAGACAAAGTGACCATCGGCCTGTTGTTCTGGGATGGCCCTGGAGAGGGGCTCCGGTTCTTTCTGCGTGACACTGACCACTTCTCCAGCCATGTCAGCGGGACCCTTGGTATTCCTACCCATGGACTGGACTTGGGGCATCCTCAGAAACCACCTCTCCTGGGAACAGGCAGTACCCCTCACCTGCTGCTGTCTCCCAGGCTCTCTCTGTTTTTACCCTTGCTGACCTGCCCTTTGTATCTCAGGCCAATTTTACCAGGATGTTCTCTGGGGGGAACCAACAGTGTCGGATGACAGCAAACGCACGCTGAGAGTTCAGGGGAATGACCACTTGGCTACCAGGTGACTCAGCACAAGCAGGCCGCTGAGCCCGGGTGGGCTGGACTGGGGATAGGGAGGCCAGGAGCTGGGCTCTGCAGGACCTCACTCCTTCTGTCCTGACCCAGTACTAGAAACAGGTAAAAGGTTGATGCCTTAGACATGAATGAGTCAGCTCTCAGTGACCCCACGAAGGATGGCCAATTCAGACCCACAAAAAGCATGCAGGCCCTGAGATCACAAGGGTTGGCTAAGGATGTAAGATGCCTCTCCCCAACCATTCTCTGAGTTCTTGAGCCCTAGACCCTGTGAAACACACACACACACACACACACACACACACACACACACACACACACACACACGACCTCCAGGATAACCCTCTAGGGGACTGGGCCTTATAGGCCTTGCTAGGGAGAATCCTAGAGGGACCCTGGGACTCCCTACTCTCCATGTTCCTGTCCCCAGCTGTGTCCTTCTCTTCCCACCACATTTGAGGCTTGCTGACCACCTTTCTGTCTGTCTTTCCATTCCAGAGCACTCAGGCTGGATTACCAGGAGGGACTCCCAGGAACAGAGGTTTCCTGCTGGTCCGTGGAGCTATAGTTCTGATGGGAGGAGCCATGCCTGCTGTGTGCACTTGGCCACCACCCTGCCACTGCAGGTCCACCTGTGGAGCCTGGACCAAAACAGGGAGAGGCATTCCCACTCATTACAAATAAAGAAAGGTGGTGTGAACCCAGGGAGTGTGCATTTCTAGTTCCATCTAAACAAATGTCAGTGCCTCAGAATCTCATCCTTAGCATCATAGAACATAGATACTTCCACTGTCAGCCATAAAAGTCCTGAGGCCAGTAAGGTCCACTGCAGAGCTTTCAGTCCAGCCCCTTCATTTTACAAAAAAAAAAAAAAAAAAAAAAACAGATTGGCCTGGAATGGTGACTCTTGCCTACAGTCCCAGCACTTTGGGAGACTGAGGTGGGAAGAGTACTTGAGCCTGGACAACATAGTGAAACCCTATCTCTATAAAAAATACAAGAAAATTAGCCAGGCATGGTGGCACACACCTGTAGTCCAGCTACTTGGGAGGCTGAGGCAGGAGGATCGCTTAAGCCCAGGAGTTCAAGGTGGTGGTGAACTGTGATGATGTCACTGCACTCCAGCCTGGGGAACAAAGTGAAACTCTTGTCTACAAAAAACAAAAACCCTAAGATTGAACCAACCATTTAAAATGTCACTCCAACTCCTAGCTAGGTGCCTACGACTGGAGAACTCCAGGAAAAAAGGTTCAGTCTGTTTTATGGTCACTTGGACTGTGAAAAACAGTTTTGAGTTTTAAAAAGAGGAAGAGAGAGCAAGAACTGAACTGGAATTACTTATTATTTAGAGACAAGTTTCTCACTGAAATGCAGTAGTGCAATCATAGTTCACTGCAGCCTCAAGCTCCTAGGCTCAAAGGGATCCTCCTACGACAGCCTCCCAAATAGCTTGGGACTACAGGCAAGTGCTATTATGCCTGACTAATTTTTTTATTTTTTGGAGAGACAGAGTTTCACTGTGTAGCCCAGATTGGTCTCAAACTCCTGGGCATAAGCAGTCCTCCACCTAAGCCTCCCAAAGCGCTGAGATTACAGGCATACTGGGTTGGAATGCTTTATAGTCCAACTCCCACACTTTCTCAGTGAGCTTTGGGCCCCTTTGCAATGGGACTGGCCTTACATAATTTGATTTCCACACCTGTGCTCATGAACAGGCCTATCTGCTCACTGCTTTGTAAAGAGGCTGGCACTGGAAGACAAGAGACACAGACAGGAGGCCTCAGTCCCAGCAGGGAAACAGATCTGTTCCCACAAACTTCTAGTTTGATGAGGGTGATCTGGGTCCCAACTCTACACCCTGTGCTGCTGAGGGTCTCCTCTCCTTGCCCCAGGGTTCGGTACTCCAAAGATTCCACCCAATTCCTGCAAGGCAAAGCATACTTTAAAATTGGACTGGATGCAGTGGCTCAAGCCTGTAATCCCAGCACTTTGGGAGGCCAAGCAAGAGGATTGCCTGAGCCCAGGGGTTTGAGACCAGCCTTGGCAATATGGGAAGACCTCGCACTTTTAAAAAAAAGTGTATGATTGCTCCACTTACTTCTAAAAAAGGGACAGGAGTCGATGGCTTACTAATACAAAGCATAAAGAGAATAAAACCAAAATCCATGAATATGAGAATAAAGGAAAGAGACAAGCAGAAGGACAGTTAAATCAGAGACATCAGCCGGGCTTGGTGGCTCAGCCTGTGATCCCAGCACTTTGGGAGGCTGAGGTGAGTGGATTGCCAGAGCCTATGGGATCAAGAAAGGCCTGGGCAACTTGGCGAGACCTCATCTCTACAATAAATCAAAAAATCAGCCGGGTGTGGTAGCACATGCCTGTAATTCTAGCTACTCGGAAGGGTCACCGGAGCCTAGCAGGTCGAGGCTGCGGTGGCCGGGAGCAGCCACTGCACTCCAGTCTGGGCGACAGAGTGAGACTCCAACTCAAAAAAAAAAAAAAAAAAATCAGAGACAATCAGTATAGGAGAAGCTGCAGCAGATTGAGCAGGAAGCTTTGCTGTAAGCTTCCTGACAGCCCAAGTAAAGCAGAAAATGAGCTTGTTGTTTTCTTTCTTTTTTTTTTTTTAATTAATCAGTATTTTTTATTATGGTTTTGTGGGGTACAGTTAAGGGTTAGGTGTACAATTATGTTTCATTCA